TGCACGTGAGAAATCGTATATGGAACGATAAGATTAGATGCTGACAGTCAAAATGCAGTGCATTTGCCAAACTGAAGCCAAGAAGGAATGATAATCTTTATTTGTGAAAGAGAAAATATTAAACTCAATACGTTGAAATTAATCGTTGGCCACCATACCTAAAATTCTCAACAGCTGTGCTCATAGTCTTTGAGAATAAATTAACGACTGTTCTGTGACAAAATAAAAATTGTAACTCCACGAAGATTTTATAAAATAAAATTGTTTGTTCTATATGATATATTTTAGTAATTTTGGAAAGTTGAGGGACTGAAGTGAAATAGTATTAAATTCAATTTTAATTGAGCCAAATAATTATATTTTTATAGAGCGAATATAAGTATATTAATATAAGATTTGTTTTATAATTCGTATTAAATGACGTATTATGGATTCGAGAAGAAAGTTAATTCGATAAGCAATACCTAAGTTATTGAAGTTCAAAGAAGCTATCAATAATTTGTATTTGACTCAGTCGCATAGTTGGAACACATTAAACTTTTCCCTTTCCTTTCTCATTATCCTCCATAGCACCTTTTCCCTTGCAAATGGTTATGTGGAAGGGTATCTTGATGTCTTCATCTTTACACTTGAGATTACCACAATCTCTAGTACAGCGTAAGAACAACCACCCTATATTTCTCGAAGCCCTAGCCACATTGCAAGAATCAAATCTTGAACAGACTTCTACATTTATCAGAAATTCTAAAAAAACCTATTCCACCCAATTCACTGAATAAGGCACCTACAAGCGTTTTTACTAATTATGCCCCTGTTTGGCTCCCATTTTGGGGTGTTGAAAATTTTTGGAATAGTGATTGATGGGAGAATGTGTGGTAGAAAAGTAATGAAAAGTTTTAAATTTGTGTGTAATATTATTTTATTTGATGAATGTGTGGTTGAAACGAAGTGAGAGAGAGAGAAAATTACTGTAATGTAATGANTTTGATGAATGTGTGGTTGAAACGACAAGAGAGAAAAAATTAATGTAATGTAATGGAAAAAAATAAGGTCAAACGGGGACTATTTAGATTCTCTCCTCCTAATTTCATAACAGTACAGACAATTGACAAGGGGATAACTCTATTGTTTATGCATAATTGTCTCATTAGGCTTAAAAAGGACATCCATACAGCTCTGTACTAGTGAAACACGAAAACGAGCACTTGCAAACACTTCAAAATCAAATTCCAACTATCTTTCAGAAATTTCCTAAAAAATCCAAATATAAAAACTCTAACCAAAAGATCCATCATCACATAGGCCAGGCCATCAATATTCTAA